ATAATGTCTCTCTTACCACATACCCTACATAGAAAACATGTCTGGATGACGAACGATAAAGTCTCTACAATATTCAATAAATTCTACAAAATAGTCTTGAGGCCTATACATGAATTTAAATCATTATTACTAAAAAATATTTAATTAGAGCTTGTAGAATAAGGAACGTACATCGTTAGTTTCTATATAAAATCTCCCATATAGGATTTAGAATCCATTAACTAGCATTTTCATGCGACTTTCTGCTTTTTTTTTCTGGTGCGAAAAACCCACTAAACAATCAAAAAGTCCCTAAAAATGTTGCTTTGACGTTTCCATGTCGGACATTTGTGAACACGCTCCTAGTGTCACTGTCACTACTTGTAAATATACCACAAATGTCAATGAAAAACTTACATGAACAAAGGTAAGTCTTATTTTGTAGGTGGCAACTTCCAAGCGTTTTTCTTTCAATGAAAGAAACCCTGAAAATTTTGCTACAGTTCATTGATTTGACGTTTCATATCGAGCAGTTGTCAACACAGTCCTTATGTCCACTGTCACTCGTTGTAATTATACTACAAACCTCATTGCGTTGTTTACATAAGTAAGAAAGTGAAATTCGTTGCAATTTTATGTGTTTGGTATTAAGTGGATAACATTTTCTGGTGTTTTTTTGGCAGAAAAAACATCCAAACAATCAATAAAACCTCTGAAAATATTGCTACAGTGATTATCAGTTTATTGAGTTGACGTTTCCTGTCAGGAAATTGTAAATACGGTCCAAATGTCTCTGTCACTCTTTGTAATTATACTACAAATTTCATTGCGTTGTTTGCATAAGTAAAAAGTGAAATTCGTTGCAATTTTTGCCAGGTGAAAACTTCCAAGAGTTTATCTGCAACGAAAGACAATGAAAAAGTGCCTGAAAATGTTGCTGAAGTTGGTAGCAGTTTATTGATTCGATGTTCCCTGCCGGGCCAATGTCAATACGTTCCTAAGTCACTGTCATTTTATGTGTAATTTATTTGGCGTTTTCGCTGGACAATTGTAAATACGGCGCTAATGTTACTGTCACTCCTTGTATATATTGGCGAAACGTCAATGCTGGGTCGCTTACATATGAGAACGAAGTAAAATTGTGGAAACGTTGTGGTGTTTTTGGCCAAAAACTCCCAAAAATGTTGCTACGTTTGACATCAATCCATTCATTTGACGTTTTATGTCGGACAGTTGTAAATATTCCACAAACGTCAACGAGTTTTAAGCAGCGTCAAAAGTAAATTAAACAGTTTTTTGGCCCAATCGCGTTTGAAGTCGAGAATTTGCTCAGCTTGTAGATTACTTAGCATTAACTTAGTGGGGTTTCTTGGGAAAATGCGTTTTTCTTTGGTTTTCACTGATTTTTCACTAATTTGAAAATTCGTTTCGAGCAGATTGCTTAGGTTGGTTAACTGCACTTTTCATTGACTTGCTGCTTTGGTTGAAATTTGGCAACCGATTTATGCATGTGGAATTAAATGACTGTTTTCTTAATGAAAAGTAGCAAACTCCTGAAAGAAAACCAAATTTCACCCAGAAATGCACTAAGAAAAGTTATTGTAAAACAAGGTAAACCTATTTTGGACTTTGATAGCGCTTGGGCGACAAACCAGTTAATCTTCATTTGCCGGCAACTTAATGGGTTGTGAAGCAAGTGAAGCTTCCTGGGGGTTTCTTTATAAAGCAGAAAGTTGCAGATTATGTTTAAATCCCTCCTATCTACACTAAGTACAAATAAACATCAATTTAAGTTCGCTTCTTACGTCTAGAATGTGCATATGAAAACTACGTCATTACAAAATTTACAGTTAAATTTGCTACTGGTCGGTCACTAGGAAAATACTGGTTAGAATCGTAACTTCTGGACGAAAATGTAACATTTCTATTGCAAAAATCGCCATTTAATTCCATTTTAGAACGTTTGAAGGAAACTTGGCTGGAGAATTGGGTTGCTTGTTTTCTAGCCAATACTTTCCAATTAGTTGTTTGGAAAAGTCATGCAGCCGCCTGAAAGTTGCCCTTATTTATTCAGATAGTTGGGAATTTTCAGTTCAGAGTGCAATTGAAGCTTTGACGCGGTTAACACGTTTATCTAGTTTCCTCACTATCTACAACGCAAGCGCAACTTTGAACAACAAAAGCTCAAACAATTATTTTACGAACCATTGATAGACTTACTTTTATACGTAGTTAGTAGGCGCCTAATTTAGAGCTAACATTTACTGTTTGTACAATTGTTTAAACAAATGTGAAAAGGGGGGCTTGATATGAAGGGTTTTTTTCGGCTAGTCAACTAGTAGCGTTTTTTTCGTTTAATATACACACGGTGGCTGATTCATCAGTGTCCAGCTGAAAATCAGGCAGAGTGTACTAAGCCTGGGTAACACAGTGAATTTTCAGGTGTTGGCGCAACTTATGGTGTTGTAAACTCATAATACGATAAATGTGTAGGGAGATCGCAGGGGAGTTTGTGATTTATGGTGTTGCGCCATCAGACGCGAGTTGTTATAACGCATTGACGCTCAGAGCGGTATCAACACAAAAGCGCCACACAACACAGTGTTACCCAGACTTAGAGTGTAGAGTGGCGGGAAGAAACGAACATATACAGAGCGAGTTATGTACAAATAGAAAGAACTACGGGTAAATTTAGATCATTAAGTTTCGCACCATAAGTGGATATGTATGTTTGAGTAGTAGAAATGCGGGACTAGCTTAGAAGGAAAGGACCAAGGGGTTTTCTCGGAAATTATCACAGGGACTTTGCAACCAATCATTTCCAATCTTACCCGATGTGCCTTGAAATATCCCCCCAGTCAGGAACACTACATAAATACAGAGGCACTATGTTACTAACGACTACCAGTTACAGTACGAAATAGTTATTTGTCGCTATATTTGTAAAGTTATCGATATAAGGCAGCGAAGAGACATTGTAGCAAGGGCCTGGATAAGGGAGTTTACTTTTACTGTTGGTAAAGTGCATTTTTTTAAATTAGTGGTTTTGCTAAAGGTTTGGCACTTAACCAAGTTGATTCAATGTCAGGCAACCGCTAAGATCTCAGGTTTTGCTTGGGGACATTTATGTTCAATTTTCTACGAGTGATTATAGGCATAATCAAGTAATTCCGAAAATCCTACAAATGCGCAAATTTCTATCGTTAGCCCAATGTACCAATTGATTCTCAACTAGCCATGGGTGATTTTTTTGTCAAAAAAATTGGCTTTTCTAGATCCATCTAAAGTAGACCTTTATTCCACAGAAAAACAGGCAAATGTGCCACTTTCATTTGAGACACCCTGTACTCAGAGGAATTGCTTCAACTGTAGGTGACAGTTCACTGACTTGACTTTTCTGTCACAGTAGTCAATACGCATCTAATGTCACTGTCACTAGTTGTAAAGCGGCAGCAAATGTTATCAGCTTGTTGACATGCAAAATATCTGGGATTTTACCCAAATTTACGTGGTTTTGGACCGTGAATGCGCAATTTTTGGCTCAGATAGCCGCGAGAGAATATTTTACATAATAACATTTAAAAATTACTGAAAGAATACATGCTGAATGACACTCAACTTTTTTTGCAAAATTTTAGTCTGCAGGTGATACAAAAATACCTAAATAATCTTCTAGAGACTCACAAGCTTCCAAAAATGTCTCAAACTTTTTTCTATGGTTGGTAACATTTCATTGTTTTGACGTTTTTCATAAGGCAGTTGCAAATACGCCTTCAATGTCACTGTCACTTATTGTAAATAGCAACCAAATGTCATCGGTTTTGTAACATGCAAAACAGCCGAGGTTTAACCAAAGTTGCAGAGTTTAATCAGCAGTATAAATTTAAAATTAATTATTTATTATTTAAAAATCGTCTGCGCCGACTGGAACTCTGATTATTTAAGGCCAGTTTTGTACACTTTTGGTTCTGAAATGGAGTTGAATTCAAAAATCTTCTAGGTGCTCAAACGATTCAAAATGTCTCAAATCCCTCTATATTTCTGGTAAAATTTCACACATTTGACGTTTCAAGTAAGGCAGATGTAAATATGCTTTAAATGTCACTGTCATTCGTTCTAAATATACCACAGACGTCTATGGATTGTTTGCGTAAGTAAACAAGTGATTTTCTCGGAAAATTTCTGTTTCATTTGGCAGAAGAAAACTTTTAGGACTCTCTTGCGAGGGATCATTCAAAATTACTAAAACCATGTGAATTGAATTTTAATTAATTCTTTAAAATATTTTAGACCTTCAAAATTATCTACAGATGCTTCCTATTCTCTCTTCGTTTTAAGGCATTTCGATGCTTTGACGTTTCCTGTCGAGCAATTGTAAATACGCTCTAAATGTCACTGTCACTTATTGCGAACGACAGCAAATGTAATCGGTTGGTTTACATATAATAGAACTGCGAATTCGCTGAGATTAAATAAAAATAAATAATTTTAAAAGTTTGGAGATGCTCAAATACTTCTAAAAGTGCGTCAAATTGTCTTCTACGGTTGCAAATATTTAATTTATTTCACGTAGTTATCGGGCAGTTGTAAATGCGCCTTAAATGTCACTATCACTCGTTGGAAAGAGACAGCAACTGTCATCGCTTAACCGAAAGTTGCGCATTTTAGGCTGTGAATATGTGACTTTATGCTCAAACTAATTGCTTATAAATAATCGAAAAGAATTAAAACCATGTAAATTGAATCGCGTTCTGGTTAATTTGAAATGCTTTTGCAAACTTTGGGGTCTGAAATTGATAGGCAAAACCCAAAAAATCTTCTACACTCAAAAGGCTGTGAAAACGTTCCTCTCCATGATTGAAAACAGTTCAGTAATTTGACTTTTGTTGTCGGCCAGTTGCAAATACGCTTCAAATGTCACTGTCATTCGTTGTCAAGAGGGAGCCATTGGTTTGTTTATATGCAATTTTGTGGAGTTTTAGCCTAAAGTTGCAATGTTTTTGTTGTGAATATGCGATTTTTCCTAGGAAGCAGCAAAATAATCTTTGGCCTGCAAATAAATGAAAATGTGATTTGGATTTTTTGTTGCAAGCCTCTGAAATTGATATGGAAAACCTTAAGAACCTTCTAGACATTCAAAAGTCTCTTTAAATCCCCCAAATTATCTTCTACGGTTGATAGGATCTGTTGACTTAACAGTTGTTTTCAAATAGTAGTAAATTTGCTTAAATGTCAATGTCACTAGTTGTGAAGCGACAGCAAATGTCATCGCTTTGTTTACATGCAATATCACATCGTTTTCTGTCCAAATTTACGTAATTTAGGCTGTCAGTGCGCAGTTTTTTGATCGATTGATCGATGATTGATTGATTGATTTGATTTTGATGATTTGATTTTTGATTGATTTGAGACTAGCGTGAAAATATTTTGCATGGTAACAAGTAACAGTAACTGAAAATTACTAAAAACATGTGTGTTGAATGAGTTTTTGCAAACTTTTGGTACCTAAATTGATATGAAAAAATCTAAGAATCTTCTAGACACTCAAAACTTTCTAGAAACGTCTCTAACTCTCCCAGCATTTCACTGTTTTGACGTTTCCTGTAAGACAGCTGTAAATACGCCTCCGATGTCACTGTCATTCATTGTAAAGAGGCACAAACTGTCATCGCTTAGTCTACGTCTGATATAGGTGGTCTTTTGAACCAATTTATGACATGAGAAATTCCAAAAATTTTCAAAAAAATCACTTGTTGCCAAGACACGGTTAATTTCATAGGTTTGTTTACAAGCGATAGATTTAATGGTAGAAAATTTCAAAAAATGTCACAAAATGCCCCAATTTCGTTTTTACAATTGGCAGCAGTTCATTAACTTGACATGTCCTGTCATGCAATAGTATATACGACTCTAATGTCACTGTCACTCCGCGTAAATACATGACAAATGTCATCGGTTTGTTTACATGCAGTTCAGCTGGTTTTTGATAAAACGTAGTATAAAAAATGTTAAATTAGCCGCTGAATTAATGCGGTTTGAACCTTTGGAGTATCTGAACTGGAAACAGCGACAAATATGTTATACAGAGTGGCTCAATTTTTCATAGAAAAACTTAGCCAAAGAGAAAAATTGACAGTCTGTCCAACTCGAAAAAATTCCATAATCTTCATTACCTTTGCCACTTTAACAAAAGTTTTGTAAATAAAAATACCGCTAAATGTAAAAATTGCAAATCCTTCCTATACAAGAAGCTGACTAAAAGATGCAAAAAATGTGGAGATTTGTTTACAGAGCGCCACTTTAGACGGATATAGAGGCCGAAAAAAGCCGATAACAGTGGGATTCCCTCATGTTGCGAATATTTCCTTCAATGCATCCAATACATCCAAGTTTACCCTACAATTCAATATACAACTCTTCATTTATAAGTACTATTTGGAAGCCAGGTACTTTGGGACTAAAACCTTGATAGAGTCAAAAAGCTAATCGTATGTTATCACTACCTATATATTAGGTTAAGAGTTTTCTCGATGATATTAGTAATGATATGCATCGTTTCACAACAGGATGTCTGAAACGGTACGGATCGACCCTCTCAGACACCCCAGCCGGTTGATCAGCAGGAACGCAAAATACCACTTAATGTATAAAAATCAAATTGCTTAGAGATCTAAGGATATGTGTAAAGTTTCCATCGAACTAGGCCGTTCAGATTAACCGCAAGGTTTCACACCCAAAGCACCTCCATCCTCAGTCACAGATCAAACCTCTAAACACGTCCATTACTCATTGTTCTTGGGACTGTTGTCTACACAGCGATAAGCAAAAATTGTCTAAGTTCCTTCATCCTCTGACTGTTTGGGAACTTTCCGTAGAAATCAAGCACCATGCTGGAATGGTTCTAGTTTCTACGATCTCTCTACGCGAACATCCGCCCAAATACACTGAAAATCAGACAGAGCAGCGAAGCGCCAACCTGCGATTGGCTGATAGTCAGGGAACTTCCCTCACTCGTGCAGTTGGACAACTGCGGCTTTTGCTGCAGTTCCACTGGAAGCAGCAGGGATTTTCAGTTTTCCCCCACCGAATTGATAGCACAGTTATTTACCTGTAAGCTGCTGCAGCTGAGGCAGGTACTTTTTCCAAAACGCGCACTGTTTCAAGCGCGGGCCTTTGCCAGTGGCAGTACTATTTACATCCAGAGTCAAGTACTCTCTTCCATAGGCCGTGTGTAGGGGCCAAAAGGTGGCCGTCCACACTCCATTAGGCGCAAGCGACGGATTACCTGCAAACCCCACACAGTTTCCCTTAGGAAATCCCCTGGGGAATGAATGTTGAGTAGCTTTAGTTACCGGTTTTGGCAAAATTTGCAAAATATCGCATGATCCTCTTCGCCAAATCGACTTCTTGCGCAGTGTAGGACTTTTCGGGATTCAGCGGCTCTCCAAATACGTAGTTTATTTCCTCGGCGTGCATCACACCCGTCCAAGTAGGCCAAGGATTAGCCACCTACGGAAACAGTTAAATCTCAACTTCAGGGAAAACAACATGAAGCCTTCCAGCTTCCAAGAGAAAATCAGAGTTGCATATTTTCAAATGGAGGAACTATTCAGACGAAAATTAGGAATATTTTTGGTCTCTCGACGTTTCGCAAGCACGAGTGGCCTGCATCTTCAGAGATGGTTTGCTCGGCACTCGAAAGCTTCCATAAGTAAACCAGTCAGAAATGCCGCCATTATTTTTCTACAGTTGGCAGCAGTTCGCTGAGCTTGACATTGACATTGACATACAGTAGTAAATACGCCTCTAATGTCACTGTCACTGATTGTAAAGACACAAGAAAAATCCTCAGTTTGTTCACATTTATTTCAGCACTTGTTTGTTGTTTGCGCTTGCAAAATGCTTGGATGAAATTGTTTTCCACGGTGGCTGTTTTGACACAGAAAAGAACGAATCATTGTAAAGAGGCGCCAGATACGTGAAATAAAGTTGTTGCTTTTTGACAAATTCACTTAATAATTTTTGAGTCTCTCAAATCCCGTAATTTTCAGACGTTTAAAAGTTTCTGTGGGAAACAATGCTTGAACGGAAAGTTCAAAACTTTAGGGTATGGAAAACAAAAATTGAAAATTTTTCGACAATTCCTCCCGACGGTTGACAGTAGTTCATTAATTTGACGTAAATACACCTTAAATGTCACTGTCACTCGATGTAAAGGAACAGCAAAAGTCATCGGTTTGCCTACAAATAATTGAACTCATACAAACTGTGCCTATTGAATCACTTTCTGATTGGCTTGCAATGTTTGATGCCCTTTTTTCTCCTTAAATTAATAAGCGAAACTGTAAAAATCTTTTACATGCTCAACCAATGTTTAAAAATCCCTCAAATCGGTCTCTACGGTCGGCAGCAGTTCACTAACTTGACATTTCCTGTCATGCAATAATCAATATGACTAGCGCATATATCCTAGCTGACTCCTTGCTTAAATGACATGCGTAAGTCAGTTTGAGGTTACATTAATCAAAACAAACTTCTATTTACCAAAACGTGTATGTATTAGGTATTAGGGCTCGGAATCAAACTCGAACAATTCGAGTATTCGAATATTCAAAAAGCGAATAATTATGGCTAGTCATAACTCGAAAATTCGAATACTCCAATTACCACTACCAATACTCCAACTCCAACATTATCAAGCTCACAAGGTGCAAATATTTTTATATGCACTTTGTAAACTTTTGTAAAATAAGTTATTCATATTCTACAAGCATTTAAACAAATAGTTATATATTTACAAGCAAATGAAAATAATTATTTACCCTCCAGCAACTGAATATAAAATTACGTGTTTTTGTGTTCTGGTGACTCGCGACATCGACTTTTGCGCGGTGTTACAATTAGTGTGCCTACAATAGCACTTTTTTATCTGTTGCGGCTTATTTAGAGTTTGATTCCGAGCCCTAATGCATACTCGTTTTGGTAAATAGAAGTTTGTTTTGATTAACGTAACCTCAAACTGACTTGCGCATGTCATTTAAGCAAGGAGTCAGATACGATATATGCTCTAGTGTCAATCTAACGTCACTGTCACGCTGTTTAAATAGATAATAAATGTCATCGGTTTGGTTACGTGGCATTTAGGTAGGTTTTCATCAATTTTAAGTTAAAAAAGAAGTGAAAATTGCGACCAAACTAGTGCGGATTGAGCTTATCCGTTATCTGCACCGGAAACAGCATCCAATCCGTTATACAGGGTGGTTCAATTATTTGTACCAGAACTTTAAAAGCCGACCGAAAATTTGACATTCTGTAACGACAACTAATTTCATCAGTTTGTTTACATCCATATCAAATTGTCCCTCTGAAGATCGCCAATCGCGCTTGCGAAACGTCCATAAGACATTTTTTCCACAACTACCTAAAATCCCAAAAATAACATAAATTCATGCAGACGTTTCGCTCATCCGCATGCCTTGCATGCTCAACATATTAGCTGGACAGCTTCCACTGTAATCATGAGTAAACCGCAATTTTTTTGCACGGTTGGCAACAGTGCAGTTGACATTTCCTGTCGAGTAATAGTAAATACGCCTCTAGTGTCACTGCCACTCGTTGTAAAGACACGACAAATCTTTTCGATTCATTCCAAATTTTTTTCTCTGAAGATGCAAGCCCTTTGTGCATGTGAAACGTTAAGAATACCTTCTTTTAACGACGGTCTAAAAGCCAGAAATCACACCTGTTTCGTCTTTTTCAATGTTTCTATTAAATCAGCAAACACGACTTTCATTCAGACGTTTCGCTCATATTTAAAGTTCGCATCCTCATCATTCTAATTCGAACCATCACGGTTGGCAACGGTTCGTTAACCTTTACGTGTCCTGTCGAGTAATAGTAAATACGTGTCTAATGTCACTGTCACCTGTCACACACATGCCAGCCACTCGTGCTTGCGAAACGTCCAAAAAACTACCATTATTCCAGTTTCAGGAATGGTTATTTCTCCATCTCTATACTCACAGTTCGATGTTTGAAGTAGTACATGTAGACATTGTTGCCAGTTTCCGCATAGCGATGAGCAAACTCATTCACATTGCACGTGAACTGATAGTCTCCGACCATCTTGTCCAGAGCGTCCCGATTGGCCACCGGGTCGTCTGGATTCAGCCAATCGGTGTACTCGAAGACAATCGCTTGACGTGCCGCAGGCCCAACATATGGGTTCAGTTCGGTAACTGCGCCCAGGAATTCTTGCCTACAAACATTGGCCAATCAAAGCAAAGAGGGACATCAGTAGGATGGTTGGGAGGCACTTGCCTACTGATGTAGACGTTTTCCTCTTTCCTGAACAGCTCAGTGAGGTAGTACATGATGAAATAGTAGCCTTCCTCCGTGTTGGAGCCCATGAGAATGTTGGTTTTTTTGAAGTTTTTATTGGCCATTGCCCGACCGGGGGATTCATCCAGGAAGGACCCGTCTATGATGGGCACAAAGGGGAATTCGCAGATTCCTGGAAATTTATTTAAACTCTTTGCTCTCTGGTTGGGAACTAGACGGGGGAGATTTACCCAAAGTGCCCCACTCATTGTTAACGAGGTCGAAGGGATCCTTCAATCTTAAACACTCGATAACAGCCGGCAGGTTGTCTCTTTCATGAGGACATTTGACTGCCTCCGCCAATCGGAGTCCTCGCAGAATGCTCTCTTCTCGAGAGATTATTGCCCAAGGCGCCGTGGCGCTGCCCGACTCCATGATAGCCTAAAATGTCCATCACCCATTCTCCAGAGAATCAGGAGGAATATGAGGATTTTACCTGGGAGAATAAGTTGCGCGACAATGGGGAGAGCAGGTGCAAGGAGACGGAGACGGCGCCGGCGCTTTCACCGAACAAGGTCACATTCTGGGGGTTTCCTCCGAAGGCTGCCACGTTGTCCCGCACCCACTGCAAGGCCATCAGCTGATCGAAGAGGCCGGTGTTGCCAGGAGCGTCAGGCGTTCCGAAGTAGATGAACCCCAGTGATGCCACCCGATACTGCATGGAGATTACTATAACGTTCTCCTCGGATACCTGCAAAAGAAATGGGTTTCTCAAGCATTTCTCCTCTAAACCACATTTCAAGATCTTCACTGTTACAGCAAAAAGTCCCCCCTAGTTGACACTCTGCACCGGTTTATCCCTTTTGATTCGCCTACTCCTCACTCACTCCCTCTGAGTCCCCGAGGTCGAGCTAGATCAAGGCTAATTGTTCTGTTGGAAGAACTTACCAGAATATTGTGGTCATAAACATCAAGAGTGTTGGTGCCGGAGTAAAATCCTCCTCCAAACACCCACACCATCACCGCAGCATTCTTGGGCCGAGGCCGCGGGACCACCACGTTAATGTAGAGACAGTCCTCGCTTAGAGGAGTGTTGGGGTTCCAAATTTGAGCACCTGCAAACCCGCACAGTTGCAACCTGGAAGTCGCGTAGGCCAAGGAGCTTACCGGGAAAGTCTCCAAACAGTGTGTCAATAATTTGTACGCAGGAGTTGGGGTGCTTGGTGGCATTGATAACGCCCTCCCATTTCTCATAGGGGCGCGGGTGCCTAAACCGCAGGTTCCCTACGGGTTTTTGGGCGTAGGGAATGCCCAACCAGGCGTCTACCTGAAAACATCAACAGCGCGAATGACTCCCCAGTAGTTGTCGAGTGATTAGGGATTACCTTCTTTCCTGTTGCCGCAGTCAGCGTCGTCCCGCGGACTTTTCCCTTATTGGTGCGAATGATTAAAGGGTCCTCATCCGTCGACGACAGTCGACTAGGGAAGTCTCTTTTGTCATCTGGGGCGTCCCTATTGGGGCGGTAAAATTGGGGATGAAACTGATTACTGTTAATTCTTAGGGGACGGTACCTTCTAAACTCCTCGGAATCCTTGTGGGGATCGAAGGGGTCCCGTCGCGTGCTGGACCCCTGTTGCGCCATCAGGGGCTCCGCACGAGGCCCCTCAATGGGGACGGATCGATGGCGCCCTCGGCGCGCCGCGGGGGCTGCGGGGCTCGCTGCCGCCAGCAGGAGCCCCATTAAGGGCCAGCAGCCCCACCGCATGACCGGCGATGGGCTAACCGGACCTGGCCGGGTCTGGAATAGGTATATGCTTGTAAGACCCTTAGGGTAACTCTAGCATGGTGTGTTTTTTCGAAATAGATGTTTTTGACTATTGAACTGCTAGCAGCAGAAAATTTAGCCTGATGATGCCCCAAATTCGAAACCTGTGCCACTTGCAAGTTGGTCTATGCCCTACAAAACTGATTTAACAGTCAATTGTAAACTTCGCTAGTTTCTTACCAAAAAACTGCGAAAATCCGGCCTGCATAAACAGACGAAAAGTGCGAACAAAATTCTTTAAAAAATCGTAAAAACTTCCTGAGGAAGGTACAAACTCAAAACGTTTACTGCCTATCAAGCACACCTTGGACTGCGAAAAATCTTCTCTTTATTGACATCTTCTAGATATTGAGAAAATAAATGCCAAACTTACGCCTGCAAAATTAACTTGGAAAATTCCAAGTCACATTTAGAACCTTCTCAAAAAGTTCCTAATGATGACTCAAAATCGAAACTTTTTCCTCATTTAGAACTCAAATTGCTCTGCAAAATTGACTTGAAACTGAACCCCGAGCTTGAATGGTTTCTGGGAAATTGGACACCGAACTTAGGCCTGCATAAAGAGCCGCTAGATTTCATCATATGTTTAAAAAAGTCTCGAAAATTACCTGATAAAGTCAGAAAATCGAAACTTTTTCCAAATTTAGAACGCACTCTGTCTCAAAAAACGCACTTAGCAATAAATCTCCAACTTCGATGTAGGTTTTCGCGACAAAAAATTCTGAACTGACGCCTGCAGAAAAAAAACACAAAATTCCATGGCAAGCTTGAGAAAATTTTGCCAGTTGCCTGATGATGTCCCAAAATCGAAACGCTTGCCCTTTATAGTACAGGCAATGGACAATGACATAGATGCAAAGATGGCTCTTGACCTTAACTGGTTTCTGCAGGAAAAGCTCTGAAACTTCAGCCTGTATAAGCAAGCGCAAATTGCAATCACATTTTCCAAAAAAATCCTGAACATTTCCTGAAGATTACTCAAAATCGAAACGTTTGTCGCTTATAGAGCAGCCTTATAAATTTTCCGCAAAAGCGATTCTCCAAATCTGCGAGCTCCTGAGAAAATTCATGTCAAACGACGACCTACTTACATATCTGCGAAAACCATAAGCAACTTTGAAAAATTATTGAAAGTTGCCTGATGATTCAGTTGTCTGATGATACAAATACATGCAAAAGCGAGTTTCTCGTTTAGTTGGTTCCTGAATGAATAAATGAATGCCAAACCGGACAAAATAATGTTGCCAAATTCTCATAAATTGCCTGATAAGGATTGAAAATCGAAACTATGATTGTTTATAGAAAGCACTTCGCCCCCATAAAATGCCTTAAATATAGCTTTTTCGCTTTGAAAGCTACAGCGGAAATAAATTCGAGATTCCGCCAAAAACCTGACGCAATTTTGAAAAATTCTTGAAATTTGTTTCATGATCGAAACGTTTTCCACTCGTAAAACATACTTTTTTTGGTAAAATAAATACAAAATCAACTCTATTATTTTGTTACTTCCTGAATAAATGAAGGGCAAACTTCAGCCTGCAAAAGCAACTTCGTCAACTAAACATAATTTTGAAAAATTGTAAAAAATTGCTTGATGAAGACTGAAAATCGAAACTCTGTATTAATTAATTATAGGGGGAATATTGCCTCAGAAAATTCGCACACAATTAACTTTCTCACTTCCAAAGTTAAAGAAAAAATAAAAACTAAACTCTTGTCTGCAAAAACCATCACGAAAACCACACGCGATTTTGGAAAATTATTGAAAATTTTTGAAAAATTTTACATTTCATCAATCGATTTTGCGCTATTACATACGTACAAATGTATTATGAGTCCCTCATTTTTTTCCTTCCTGAATAAATCAATGCGGTACTTACAATAAATTTCAACTTGGCAACTTTGCAAAATTGCCAAGATTTGCTTGATGATGACTGAAAATCGAAACTCACAACAATATTCACTTTCGCACGTCCCAATTTACAAAGAAAATAAATGCTTTAGTGCGGCTTGCAAAACTATCACCCAAATCCGACGCTGTTTTAACAAAATCTTCAAAATTGCATGATTATTAGTGAAAATCGAATCATTTACAGAAAAAACTGTGACCTTCAAAACAGTTGAAAATTTAACTTTTTCACTTCTTAAGTAAAATAGGAAATCAAACAACTAAAAAATGCTAAACTGCAAAAATTCACCACACAAACCAGATGTAATAATTTTTTTTAAATTTCCTGATGATGACTGAAAAATCGAAACTGTTGATGCTTGTAGAATAAACTTTACCCTACTAAACACGTATAAAAATGACTCCCTCAGTTCGACACTTCCTGAATAAATGAATGCCAAACTCCAGCATGTAAAAACAACTTGGACAACCAAACGACATTTCGAAAAATTTCCTGATGATGACTCACAATGGTAACTTTCCTCATTTTATATACGAGACTTTGTCTACAAAATGCTCTCAAAGTTCAGTTTTTTACTTTCCATGTTGCATTTGAAATAAATGCTAAACTCCATTCTGCAAGAACCACTGCGAAAACCAGACGCAAATTTCAAATTTTGCGAAAATTTCCTGATGATGACTGAAAATCAAAACTTTTTTCGTTTATAAAACAGACATTGCCCTATTAAATACATAGAAAGCGCCTCTCTGATTTCGTTAATTCCTGAATAAATGAGTGGCAAACTCCGGAGTGCAAAAGTAACCTCGCCAACCAAACGCATTTTTGAAAAATGGGCAAAAATTGCCTGATGATGATTCACAATCGTAACTTTCCCCGTTTTGTATACGAGACTTTGTTCTACAAAATGCTCTCAAAATTCAGTTTTTTACTTTCCATGTTGCATTTGAAATAAATGTTAAACTCCACTCTGCAAGAACCATTGCGAAAACCAGACGCAAGTATGAAAATTTTTTGAAAATTTCCTGATAATGACTGAAAATCAAAACTTTTTGCCCTTATACAACATACTTTGCCATATGAAATACATACAAAAGCGTCTCTTTGCTTTCGTTAGTTTCTGAATAAATGAGTGGCAAACTACGGGCTGCAAAGGCAACTTCGCCAACCAAACGCATTTTTGAAAAATTGGCAAAAATTGCCTGATGATGACTCACACTCGTAACTATCCGCGTTTTGTATACGAGACTTTGTCCTAGAAAATGCTCTCAAAAGTCAGTTTTTTACTCTCCATGTTGCATTTGACATAAATGCTAAACTCCACTCTGCAAGAACTATTGCGAAAACCAGCCGCAAGTTTGAAAATTTTTTGAAAATTTCTTGATAATGACTGAAAATCAAAACTTTTTGCAATTATGTAACAGACTTTATCCTATGAAATACATCGAAAAACGTCTGTCTGCTTTCATTAGTTCCTGAATAAATGAGTGGCAAACTCCGGGCTGCAAAAACCACCTCGCCAACCAAACACAACTGTGTCAAAATTGTCAAAAATTGCCTGATGATGGCTCACAATCGTAACTTTCCTTGTTTTACATACGGGACTTTGTCATACAAAAGGCTCCATGTTGCATTTGACATAAATGCTAAACTCCACTCTGCAAGAACCATTGCGAAAACCAGACGCGAATTTGAAAATGTTTTGAAAATTTCCTGATAATGACTGAAAATCGAAACTTTTTGCACTTATAAAACAGGCTTTGCCCTATAAAATACATAGAAAAGCGTTTCTCTGCTTTCATTAGTTCCTGAATCAATGAGTGGCAAACTCCGGGCTGCAAAAACAACCTCGCCATCCAAACGCATTTTTGAAAAATTGGCAATAATTGCCTGATGATGACTCACACTTTTAACTATCCTCGTTTTATATACGAGACTTTGTCCTACAAAATGCTCCCAAAAGTCAGTTTTTTACTTTCCATGTTGCATTTGATATAAATGCTAAACTCCTCTCTGCAAGAACCATTGCAAAAACCAGACGCGAATTTGAAAATTTTTCGAAAATTTTCTGATAATGACTGAAAATCAAAACTTTTTGCACTTATGTAACAGACTTTATCCTATGAAATACATCGAAAAACGTCTGTCTGCTTTCATTAGTTTCTGAATAAATCAGTGGCAAACTCCGGGCTGCAAAAACAACCTCGCCAACCAAACACAACTGTGTGAAAATTGTCAAAAATTGCCTGATGATGGCTCACAATCTTAACTTTCCTCGTTTTACATACGGAACTTTGTCCTACAAAAGGCTCTCAAAATTCAGTTTTTTTACTTTCCGTGTTGCATTTGAAATAAATGTTAAACTCCACTCTGCAAGAACCATTGCGAAAACCAGACGCAAGTATGAAAATTTTTTGAAAATTTCCTGATAATGACTGAAAATCAAAACTTTTTGCACTTATACAACATACTTTGCCATATGAAATACATACAAAAGCGTCTGTCTGCTTCAATTAGTTTCTGAATAAATCAGTGGCAAACTCCGGGCTGCAAAAACAACCTCGCCAACCAAACGCAACTTTGAAAAATTGTCAAAAATTGCCTGAGAATGGCTCACAATCGTAACTTTCCTCGTTTTATACACGAAACTTTGTTCTACAAAATGCTCTCAACATTCGGTTTTTTATTTTCCATGTTGCATTTGAAATAAATGCTAAAATCCAACCTGTAAAATCTGCCTTGAAAATCCTGATGTGATCTATATATTATTTGAAAATTGCCTGATGATGACTAAAAATCGAAACTCTGTTGACGTATGTGAAGGGACTTAGCCCTGCAGAGGGCCCTCAAAACTGGATTTCTCAATCAGCCACATATAGGGAACATAAATGCCAAACCGCGTCCTGCAAAAAACACCACGAAAACCGACCCTTGAAAATTGCCTGATGATGGTTTTTCTCGTGCCGGTGGAACACCGTCAAGGCCTGGTTCCGGATCACATAAATTCTTCCTTTTTAATAAAAATAATAAACAAAAATAATTTACTTACGTAATAATTGTCAACAAATTAGGTCGGTTGAGGACATGCTACTGCTCAGCAGGGCTCTGGATGGGAGCCTTGACACCTGAAAAGCAATCAGGCATCAATATCGGATTAAACAGAAGACAAAGGCAAATGAAGAAAGCGAAAATAAATAACAATTAATCCACTAGACAGTGCGGCAAATAAACAGGAAAGAGCCAAAGTCTGGCAGGGAACATGCAAATCGCATGTCTGGAAAGCAGCTGTTATAAATCATAAGGAAAAATTCAGCTTTTGGTGGCCTTTGTCGATGTCTCACGCGATCCAAAGTGCACCAGTCTGATTTTGCAGCGTTTCATGCCGCAAACAGTGGTTTTCCAGTTTTTTCGCACATTGTAGATCCATATCGGCCACTTATTTAATTAAATCGCCGACCAGCCGATGCATCCAGACATTATAACGTGACGAGCATAAATTTCAATTACTTTTCCACATTGGGGCAAGGGGCGATTTATCTATTTCGGGACATGTCATGGAGTTGGTTCGGGTTTTTTTAGGTCAGGTGTACACACAATTCGTTCCATCTGGAACGTCAATACGGCAACAAAGCCCGTTTTCCCCGGGCACAAAGTAATTACCGCATGACAGCAGAAAAGGGGCTCTAATTATCCTTTAAAAACGCCGTAATGATCACCCGCGAAGTCTAACAAAGCCTCACAACGTGCTCGAATTCCTCGAACGAGGAGGATTGACAACGTAATCTTACCCGGGTCCTGTTGCGCGCTTTTCAATTAATTATATACAAAATGATCGATTGCCTCAACCTCTTTATGCAGGATTTCATCAAGCGAGCACTGGGAAGTTAGTTTGGGCACTTTCAAGGCTCTACTTCTACAGGGGGAGTTGATATTGAGCAAAACTCCTCTGGCCTCAACATCCTGCGGCTAATAACAATAGGACGTTGTAAGGACTGCTCGGGGTGGCAGAATTCTATCCAACAATCCCTCCCAGCATATTCCCCAGGAGGGTTGTAGAAGACGCCTACACCCCCAAGGACCCCAGATAGGCCTGAAGGCTGCTGCTCTTTTAAACATTAGCCTACAACTCCCCACCAGCACTGCTTCAATATGAAACTCAGTGAGTGGAAGGTAGTTCTCTGCACGGGCCAATGGCATGCTCCCTGCTACTAAGCAGCCATCCACTTCTCCCCAGGAAATGGAAAAAGAACCGAAAAACATCTACAGGTCTGCCAGCAGATGGGGGAAGACAACTCACATATAGAGACCCAAAACCATTTTCATAAAAACCCACCGGGGATAAAGAAACTTTTTGCCCGAGCAACAGCCAAATTACCATAAAACGCCGAAACACTGTGTTGATTTGCTCAATTTTTTATCTTTTAAGTGGAAATTGTGCCAAGTCCCATCGACCTGTTACGTCCGGATCGAAGTCCTAATGACAATAGGCAATTTTATCGGCCGGAATCGCGTGTGTGACCTTTTAAAACCCACTGGCCTAATCGGCATAAATTAGTGTCTCGGCCGGAGCAAGGGCTTGCGTGAGCTCGGCACTCGATTTCTACATTTATTTGTAATTTACGTCCGATTCTCAAGATTTTTTTATCTGGCGCTCATTAAACTGGAGCCTATTTAGGGGTGAAGCCAGAGGTCAGCGGCGGATCATTAGGAAGGCTCTTTGTAGTTTAATTTTCCCATAATTGCTTTAAAAGGTGTATTTTGTGTTGGTGGCTTTTCATGGGGGAACTTGGGGCCTTTTGGGACGCATGTCTAAGGGTTATGCGAATGTGTGCTGGCGAAACGTCTGAACCTGGACCAACTGCTTATTGACTAAAAAGCCGTCAACTTTCCAATTGTTAAAACTACGTCCATGCAGTAACTGTTTCGCTTTTGAGGATGTGAGAAAAGTCCATTTTCCTTGCTAATCAGGCTAGATAGAGCTCTATTGCTTCCTTTTTTATTACTGTTTGGGTTAGTGTCTTCTTAATCAACGCTCGTTACTTTTCTACTTACTTTCAGTTCAGTTCTTTGAACATCTACGGTTCTTGTGTTTTTCTGCGTTACTTCACCTCTCTTTACTGTTCTTCCTTCGGCATCAAGTACGCATTTTCAGTTCATTTTGTCGCATGGTTCTTCAGCATCTTCAAAAGTTTTTTAGCACACTTTTCTACGCGTCTTTACTCTTCTGCTTCGTCACTTAAAACCCTGAAGATTCTGGTGTCTTTCGCTGCATTTTATTTAGCTTAGCGCTCGTTTGCTTCTTCTCGTTTGCCTGCTTTTTCTTCCTATTCAAGTGCTCTCTTTCAGTTCAGTTGTCCGCGTGTTTCTTCATCGCCTTCATAAGGGCTTTCAGCACACTTTTCTGCGCGTCTTAACTCTTCAGCTTCGTCACTTTGCGCTTTGAAGACTATGGTGTTTTTCAATCTTCTTTTTTGTTGGGTGCTTTTTCTTCTTATTCAAAAGCTCTCTTCAG